TGAAATCATCTGTAACGGATTTGTTGTGAGATCGATGAGGATAATGTAACTCATAAGAATTAACACTGTTGATCCACCAATGTAGCTTAACAACTTGGAAAGCACGAATAACAGCAATATCTTGAGAAAATACCAAAGCATTCACTAATCCTAAAATGCGAAAGATTAGATTAACGAAAAATGACTAAAGATAGTAAGAAGAAAAAAAAATAAGACATATATATACACCTTGAATTGATAAGCCAATGAAGCAAAGTAAAAGTAGAGGATAAGAGACCACACGATGAATATAAACGTATGTTTCGACGAAAGAACTAAAAAATAGGGCTACCAATGGCACCACAGGATACCACACGACCCTTTTGACAACTGAAGAAACCACAGTTTTATTAATTAAGGTAGGATGACTAGATAACTGAGAAGTCGAAGTCGAATCCGAAACAGTAACATTCTTGGCCGCAGATCTGAGTTTTCTAATGACCATAATAACAACAATCGTACAGTACAATATGGATATATCAATCCAGCCGAAATAAGTAGTCCATTGCCATATTATATTGTGTTTTTGCCCCGAATTACGATACCAACATACACTATAATAAATATTAATGAGTATATGAAATAAAATACGTTAAAATTTTGACAAATCTAAATCAATAAATATACTATATATACATATATACTTCTTATAGAAAAGTATTCGTCCTACCTTGGATTATCTAAGTCAAAATAAAATAATGAGTTTTAACCACTATAATAAAATTTATGAACTTTAGTAAAAAGTATAGTGGTAATTAAAACTCACAGTATTATTTTTAACTCGGATAATTTAAGATAAAACAAATGCTATTCTACAGGAAGTGCATGTGCACTTATCTAATAATATATGCATACCCCTCAGGTTCATCATAACCATACATATTACCGGTAATAGGAAGAAGAGAGAGTAAAAGGGCAAACAAAAATGTAATTATAAAATAATATTTTTCAAAATCATAACTACAACTATATTCCCTTATAAAGATTATATGAAGATTCTAAATAAAAGAAAAAAAAGATAAATGAAATGTATATATAAATATGGAAATATATAAATTTAATACATACCAAAGCTATACAGACGATGAAAAATATAGAAGAAAGGGGGAAAAATACCGTTGCCCAAACCTTTCATGCAAAAAGATCCGAAGGAAGTTAAGGCAATTAAAAAAAAAAAAAGAGGATAAAAAAAAAAGATACTATTGAATATCGAAAAAGAAAGTTAATGGATGCCTTACCATGTACCCACAAAAAAGCGCGGGAATATTATTCCAAATAAGAACAATTAAAAGATGGCTAGAATTACCTATATCACAGAATAAGGCCGCAAAACTTAAACGAAATGAAACCCGATCTGCGAGTTTGGGATAGTATATTCGTATGAAACCAAATGTTATGCATGATATAGCTGAAAAAATGAGAGAAATGGCATTCAGAGGAACACATAAGTTGGTTATGGTGGCGTATTGTTCCTCCGTTACTGGAGTGATATAATCCATTAATGTTTTAGTAGAGTAATAGACAAAAATACATACAGTATATATATATATATAAAAAAAAAAAAAAAAAGGATTGTTTATGCAAGATAAACAATGACAATAAATTAATTAATTGATAATGTGATTAAGTTTCGGTTTGTTTTTGTCGGATTTACCTTGATCAAATTTATCAACACAGTAATACGTAACGAATAAATGAAGTACATATATGCTTTATGATAGGATAGGCTACACGAATTTATACTACCGGTTTTCATAACCTTAGTGATCCAGCGATCCGGGGTTTAATGTTTATGGTAGCAATGCCTTTCATGGTAAAAGTGCATTTCTTTTGTATTCCTATTTTAAATACATCGCTAACTCATGCGTGCAAGATTTAGGACTAATTTCATACAAGTGCAACTT